ATATATATTTTTTTTTTTTTTTGTGTGGCTCCTTTTTTAATCTTTTCTTTAGTTTAGTACTTCTGTCCATTTCAAAGGAGTTTGTGGGTGGGGCAGTCAATTAGTCTTACTACTTTCCCTTACTAATTTACTAATTAAAGCCTATATATAACTGGTTACAACTAAAATAAACTTTGCAGCGCCAAAGTCTAAGCTTATGATTTAATTAAGATATGGGGATTGCTTTAACTAAGATCATCATATCCTTTTTTCTACCTTACTTCCAACTTAAAACTTGGTGCCAATCTTTCTTAATACAACCGAGTAAAGACATATTGATGGAATCTAAGCAACATTGCTTCCCACTTTAGCATTGCACTTATCCTCGCCACTTTACCAAGTGTACTTAGAAGACTAGTCACATAATTTCTTTCCCAATTATGAGTTCTTTAAACAAAATCCCTGTGTATTGAATAGTTATAGCCATATTCGAATAAGGTTGTTATTTTTTGTGTCCATATCCTATATTTTGTAATAATATTACATACAACCAAAGCGGTAGCTTAATAACATCAGATTTACTCTCGACTAGTTGTGTCCATATCCAGTATTTTGAAAGCACTTGTAACTATTTATAACCTACTAATTAAATGTTCATTGGCACATAGTATGAATGAAGTGGCATGCTTTATCTTCATATGCGACTAGTTATAACTCAATGTAAATATTTCTTAGAGCCTCTTCTACGTCACACGTATTGTTACCCCTCGCCGGGGAAAAAAAAATATACATATACATAAACGCATTTAATTGTCAGCTTTAAGTAGATAACTTTTTGAAACGGAACCAGAAATTCATGCCCAAATTTTAGGGCACTTTTGATTTTCAATAGGGAAGCAAGAAAAAAAACTGATAAACAAGCTGGGTATCACAAGGCCCCCCCATAGCACATTATTGAGACGCCGAAAGGAAGATAAGTTAAGTGGGGATGTCATTTCCAACACATGACACAAAACTGGTGGATGTGGAACCTAGGGAGGAGAATATAACAAGAATATGCATTACAAATGTGCTCCAAATAGGCATCATAGCTAGACATGCATAGAAACAAAAATTGCATATATACCTCCAAAAAACTTATATTAGAAAAAGTACTATTTTTAAAAAAAAAAAAAAAAAAAAAAAAAAAAAAAAAAAAGAGCAGTGAGAGAGGTGCCCTTAACCACAAGCCAATGATATGGGGCATTTGTCAAAGAGGGTGGAGCCCTTTGTCCCCTTCATCTCCTGAGGTAGGCCTGTGGGTTAGGTCAGAAGTCATTACTTTAGTAGTGCCTGAGAGGTCATGGGTTATCCACAATATGTTACTTAGGCAGCCAAGCCAAGATAATCCAAAAAAATAAAACCAAAGTTTCAAGTGAAAGTAATTATGGCAGCATGCAAAAGAAATCACTTCCACATAATATGATGGATTTGCCCTTTCTTTTTGAAGTAGACTCTAGCCTAACTCCTCTAACAGTGGCATGTCACACTAATTATAGGAAAATTCCACTTGGGGCCCCAAATCACAAACCACTGTTGGGTTTGAATTTTCTGAATTTGTGATTTGATTTCTAACACATATCATCCCCATGTTCCTTGTATATTTGTTATTATTCTCTGCTTTTGAAGTGGCCTAGATATGCATATCTTTCTTTTATTCTTGTGTTCTTATTTCCTGACCATAATGGGTTAGAATCTTTTTTCTTAAGCTCAAATGCAATATAACTCAATTTGGATATCATTCTATATCACTTAATATGTGTGGCCTATTTATCGTCCTCACATTAATCTCAGATTGCAACCTTTTTTTTTTTGTTATAGTGAATACATCACAAAGTATAAATACAGTTTTCGCATTGAGATTTTTGGTGTTTTTATTTTTTCTTTTGTGATTTTATTAACCTTAATAGTATAGAATTAGGGAGTCTAATTCTTAATACCCTTGTCAAACGGTTTACAGTTAAGATTTAGAGCATAAATATCTCAAAACTTAGATTTAGAAGAAGAGAAAAGGAGATCGTGAAAATGCCAGTGAAGGAATTTTAACAAGTCAAGAAAACCGCCTAACAGTACCAAACTTAATAATGGTTTCAAAGTTTCAGTAATTGGACGGTAGGTTTGGTCGTCTTATTGAAAATGACCCTTAACTGTTAAAGAATACAAAAATAAAAAGTATATAAATACTTGTTTCTTCCCAATTAAGTTATGTGGAATAACTAATGTAGTTGCAATCTGTTTTTGACTTTGTCAAGATGGAGACCATAGGCTTAATCTTGTTAAAAGCCTAACTGAATGACAACTGAAACTGCTGACTACAAACATGGTTTTTAACCCCCGTTTAATTCGCTAGTTTAAATTTTAATTAAAAACATGATAATTTTTTTGTTTGAGCAGAAAAATTCAAACTGTATGGTTTAAATTGTAGTTCGAATTAGCATTTAGATGTGTAGTTAAAATTTTAATCTGAACTGTGAATAAAATTTAAATTTGTGTTTGGTAAGTGTGAAAAGCAGAGAAAGTGAGCACTTTTTTATTGTCAAAAATAGTTTGAACGATTAAACTTAAAGAGTGAGCTAAACTCAAAATTGGACAGTTTAACTTAGTTTAAACGGGATATATAATTCGAACTGTCTACTTATCAAACACAAATTTAAACTGTGTTTACTATTTGAACTGAGTTAAATTTAGCTAAATTAGTAAAACAAATCTGCTCTAAGTTTCCGAGAAAAATGAATTTGGAATTTAGAGTCTCATTCTTGGGCAAACAAAATTGCACAAAATCCTTGTTTGGTTCACATGAAAACCCCAAATTGAAAATACTAGGAACATTATGTAACATTTAGGGCACGTTCTTTTGTCTAAAAAACTCAGAAAAAGACAATTCGAGTTCCAACTTTATTCAAGTTCACGTTCTTTTAAGTTTCAACTTTATTCAACTTTACTCAACTTTATTTAAATTACAACTTCAACTCAAGTTATAATTCAAATTCAACTAAAAAATTATACTCAAATTACATTTCAAAAGAACAACCTTTTAGTATGTGGATCTTTCATCTGGGTATTTTTCAGATAAAATTACATGGCTTCACTAGATCATAAAATTGTGCCTTATCTTTTATTATTTATTTATTTTTAAATTATTACTTATCTCAAAGAGAGGTGTGAACAAAACCGGCAAAATTGACGCGTAAAGGGTTGAACAGTTTGATGGAGCTAACCTCCAACAATACTCTGCTGTTCACTCCATTTGTCATCTCTTAACTGTTACAGAGGATAACAAAAAACGTGTGTGAGAGATTTCTGTTTGTCTTCATGGAAAATGGCATCTCACTTTCTTCCGAGAGAGAGAGAGAGAGAGAAGAAAAATAAAATAAAATAAAAAGGGTGGTTGAGTGGTAGCGTCCGGGCTGTTGTGGGGGTCTATAAAACTCCCAACAATGATTGAAAGCAAGCTACAACTTGATTGAAATATTGAAGAAAAGTAAAAATTTTCTTATTCCAAGTACTAAAGCTTCCAAAGCTATCAACATCATGGCTGATTAGAGAATGGGAATTGAAGCACTCATTACATTCCTAAAGGCTTATCTCTACAACCCCAGTTGTTTTCATTAATAAAAAGACAAGTAAAACAAAGTTAAGGTTATAAGATTATCCCATCAAAAAAGCTACTTGGCACTTGCCATCATGCCTTTGAACTGGTTAGCACTACAATCATCAATTGTTTTATACACTTACGTACGTGTATATATATATATATATAATATATAATATATGAACAGTTAGTTTTATTAATTTGAATTACAACTAAAGTTTTCATTATAATATTTTCTCTTACAAATATTTAAAAAAAATTTCTCTAGTATTCTCTCTTTTTTAAGAACACTGACGTTCCTTACTTATCAGTCATCAGATCTGTATTATTTTTTTAATTTAATTTGACTTCTAATCAATTTTAATACAGATGTGACGGCTAATAAATAGAAAACACTAATATTCTCAAAAAAAAGAAGAAAAACACTAATATTCTCAAAAAAAGAAGAAACACCAGAGAAAGTCCTGTTAGGATTTTTAATCCTATGTGGCACAAATCTTCCTATGTGGCATTTGAGATTGGCGTGAGATTTGTGCATTTTTATTGTCATCCTTATATCAAATTAATTTAATTATATGTTGATGTTTTTACACATTATTTTCATATTTTGTTGATAGATTTCTTCGTGATTTGTTTCCATAAATAGCCTGATTTGATTGGATACTTATAGATTTTGTTGGCTTTCAACACAGGTTGATTTGTGGGCTATATTCAGATTATTTGCATGATAAAGTTACCGGCTTATGAGATAATATTTTTGATTTGCTGATCACAAATTTATCTCATCTATTTTTGGCAAACTTTTGTGATTTCAATTTTTGTAGTTTTGATCCTTGCGCATAATTGAGTCTTGGGTCATTAAGGATCAATTCATTCTTTGATTGCGTTTATTTGAACATTTCATTCAAGATTTTTCTGATCAATCTCGGATTATGATTGAATTCATTTTTGTTAACAAATCACGAGTTGTCTATTCAGTTTGTTTTGACAGCTACAGGTTCAGATATTCGGCTCACATAATGACAGCTAGATTTAATAAAGCAATTCAATCAAGAAGATTGCAATCAAATATTATCTTTGATCAAGTGGAGAGACTCTAGACCTCTCTCATATCCGGATTCATTATTTAAGGATGTCTCATCAAGACCTTTATGTGTAGAGAGCACAGACTAAAATTGAGAGATCATTTTGTGAGAGTAAATTGAGTGATCTCATTTTGTGCTTAAGAGTGAGAGAAAATCAGAGTGTTCTTTTGGCTTTATTTGTAACTCTCAAACCCTGTAGTATGTGAACTTTGTGAGGATTCGGAGTAGGTCTGAGGAGGAGCCGAAGGTGGATCGTGATGCTCGGAGTAAGTCAAAAGGAATGAAGGCGGGCATTGTGCTTGGAGTAGGTCAGGAGGTCCGAAGGCAAGCAGAAGACTCGGAGTAAGGTGAGGAGTTTGAAGACGAGTCAAGAGGAGTCACCGTGAGTTAGGAATTGGTGTAGATTCAGGGAGTTTCTTGAAATTTCAAGCTTTGTAACTGTTTTTAGTAATAGTGGAATCTTCTTTGTGCTGGTGTGATCAGCACACGTGGTTTCTTTTCCAAAATAATTTTTGGCCACGTTAAATAACCATATCACTGTATTCATTTGATTATTCCGCATTTTACTTTGCAATATTTTTGGTTTCTATTTAAAAATGGTTGATTTAACCATTCTGTGCGTACAAAACTCTATTATTGGGTATGTATGGTCTAATAAGTCTCAAATTCAAATTCAAATTTAACTTTTTCTGTTACAGTCATATTTTTTTCTCACATAATTCACTTTTAATTCAAGTTCTCAACTTAGATGAGCGAAATGATTAACACGTTTAATTTCTTTCCTGAGCTGCCTTTATTTATTTTTAGTAGTTGGTGACAAGAGCAATAATTCAACTAACACATTGTTGGGGGAGGGGGACTACTCGGCTCAGAAAATTCTTGTCGCCTCGGTGCGGGTCTCAAGCCCTTCAGGTCCTCACAAATAACGACAATGTATCATGCATTGATGAAAGGTTTTGTTGTGTGACGCCAATTACAAACAAAAACCAAAGCATTTTTGGGAACCAAATTGGTAATTTACATACAGCAAAGAGATTTGCATGAATGACGCAGGACATATGTGTACGGGTATTCTTCTGCTAGGTCATGCCTAAACTTTTAAGCAATGGCCATGTATAAAATCCGTGTTGTTTGTTGTTGTGCGACTCACGTGAGTCATATGTATCAACGGTTGAGATTTTGCACTCACTATATATAACATTATTATTTTTTTTTTTTTTGTAGTCGGATAAAAATGACGGCCTTTTTAAAGGGGTGAAGCTTAGCTTGGTTTAAAAAGTTATGGAAACATTGAGTTGTTATGGTTTTGATTACATTATAATGTTTTTTTTTTAAAAAAAATTTAAATTTCAAAAGTCAAAATACAAAATTACTAATTTAAACCTATAAACCAAACAATCTTTATTCATTCAACCCCCAATCTCTCTCCTCCTTTGCGGTTAAAAATAGGCATTCCAATCACACCCGAAGCTACTAAAAATCATAGATCCGAAAAAGATTACTTGTAGCAAGTGATATGCACAACAACTTTAATTTGAAGAGAAATATGTGCTGAAATTGTTAAATGGGCTGAAAGCCAGATCAAAAAGAAAGAGTGCCTAAATCACATATTAAACATCTTAACAATTCAGTAATTTAGCGATTTGGGATCAAATTCCATTGGTCATAAAAATTCGCTTCTCCAAGCTTCTAACTTTATTTATTTATTTTTTGATAGGATCTAATTTTAACTTTAAAATTTTTTGTTAATGTAAACGAAAAGGTAAATAAATAACTCTTAAAGTGTATAAGTTTAGATTTTTACTTTTTAATTTTAGTTAATATCATTTTTAATTAAATAATAATATTAATCAAAAAGATATTAATTAAAAGTAAGAAGTGAAAATTTAAACTCATGCACTCGAAAGATAAGTTCATAAATTTTCTCTAATACAAACCCCCTAAATCAATTCGTGAAAAAAGTGTTTCCAAATGTGAGGTTGTCACTTTGAGAATTTTCTTAAAGCTTCAAAGCACTTGCTTTCTAATTTTAAAAAAGTGTTTCCAAATGTGAGGTTGTCACTTTGCGAATTTTCTTAAAGCTTCAAAGCACTTGCTTTCTAATTTTAATGATAATAAAAAGAAATCCTAATTAAAGATTCGGAACGACTCATTTACCTTCATATACTAACGCTGACAATGTTTAAGAAATCGAAGTTTCACTCAATAAGATTAGTTTGCAATATCATCACACTTGAGGCTGAGTTTTGACAATAAAATAAGCTCTCATTGTATTAAAACGAGTCGTCGCCAAAAATTAAGCAAGAGAATTATATCCTGCGAGTGGTTTGCGAGAAAAAAAAAAAAATCAGAAATATCGTGATAAACAATAATTACTTATATCGCTTCACTTAAAAATAAATAATTATCATTTAATTAATAAAAAATAATTATCATTTAATTAATAAAAAATAAAAAATCATAATAACATCTAATTATTTAACATGACATAAACGAGACGAGAATTATTTTCATGCCGTTGTTCTTTCCAGGTATTATCTTGAGATTAAAATTAAAGTAGTATGGAGTAGAACATGCACAAATCATCATGCTCGGCTTAATCAAAATGGGCCTAATTAATTCTCCGCGCCAGCCCATAATAACAAAGCCATTTAAGCCCAACTCACGAACCCTGAATCTAAATCGGCCCATACGAATTTTCTTTCCTCCCAAAAAACGCGACACGAGACACGAGGTAGCGATATCCACGTGTCAACTCCCACGAAGTTCTCAACAGTCAACAAGCGAGAAATAGATACTACCTCCAATTCTCGGACGAATCCAAACCCAAACCCGCAAGATCTCCACCGTCAGATCAATCCGATTGTCCTCATCACCGTCGTCGCCAAATCCGATGGACGAGCGTCATCCTCCGAAACGAGTCGTCGTCTGCGGCGGCGGAGTAATCGGCGTCTGCGCGGCCTACTTCCTCTCCAAGAAGGGCGCCGCCGTCACGCTCGTCGAGAAATCTTCCGTCGCCTGCGCCGCGTCCGGAAAAGCCGGCGGATTCCTCGCCCTCGACTGGTGCGATGGTAGGCCCCTCTCCTCCCTCGCCCGCGCCAGCTTCAATCTCCACCGTTCGCTGGCGGAAGATCTCGACGGCGCGCGATCGTACGGCTACAGACCCCTCACTACTCTCAGCCTCACCGTCACCGAGTCCAATAACCCTCCCTCCGGTTCCCGACCCTCCGGTAGCTCCAA